TCCCTTAAAAGCAGCCTTTTTCTCCACTGCTTGTTCATTCTTGGCCCCCGCTGTTTGGCAAGGTGCGCCCACACCACATCATGCCAGAGACTTTTAACAGTTAGCCTTAGACTATTTCACCATGACATTTAGTCTTTACTTCTTCTCTCTTTAAAGTCATTGTGTTTAACAAAGGCACCATTCATGATCACTTACCTTGCGTCCCACCTCATTATTATGGAGGTTCATGAGTGTCCTTGCATTCTGTTTGACCTCCCGAGCGTCGATAAACACTTTGGAGAAACCCAGGCCGTAGCTGATGTCCGCCGAGCAGCCTCCCCACTTCCAGCCTTGGTTTTTACTGTAGTATCCCTGCTTCTCCTTATCACAGCTACAGTCGCTCAGGTTACCCTGTGTACAGGCGGCTGTGATGGCATGGGCCACCCCTGCGGCAATGATGGCGTAGGTGAACGCAGCCTCTTTACTGCCTAGCAGAGCAGAAAAAGAGAGGGATGAATAAAATGTTGCAGGTATACATTGACACTTTTTGAAATCAAGAATGTTTCTCCCTGTGTTCAAGTGATATCCAATAAGTATGACACAGGAGATTAATTATTAACTGTTTGTAGGCTAACATCACAGTCTTTCTGTCATATCCCTCAAGGGCTGCAGTGTTTTGAAACCTGACCTGGAAACTGTCCTGCCCATGAACCAACATGGCCACTGGTTGTATAGTCAACAAAGCAGTATGAATAAGAGGGTTGTCGGCAAGTAAGAGCTATTGATCCGCTCAGAAACTGTCCCATTCTGTGTAAACTCATAAGGCACTGACATCAGAATCTTCATCCTGCCGTTATCTCGACCAAGTCCAGCTAACAAATCATTTACACGCACATGGAAATATCGACAAATAACTAAAGGTTAATCTGACAGGATTTATATAGACAGATCCTGAAGCAAGTTCTCTAACCGTTGTTAAATAAAAAGCCGAGAAAGAAACACTACAAGGCATATTTTTAAGAGCCTTATAATGCAAACAAAGCAATATGTTTTCCTTTGATGCAATGTAAAATCAGTGGTTATATTCATATCCATGATCGACAAGTAGCTTGTTTTTATTTTCAGATCTGTGATTTACTATCGTGCGAACAGGAATCTCCAGAATATAACATCCGTTATATCTACGTGTAAACAAACTCCTCTTGTCTCTGATGACAAACATCATACCTTCTTTGTCCTTCCTCCTAACACCAGGTTGACTGTGTAAAGCCGCCATGTTTTTGATAAACATCTTAAATGTGTGCCTTTGCCATTGAAAAGAAAATCTCATATTGAGGCATCAATTATCTGGACGTTTTTATAGACTCGACGGGCTACGAGCCAAAAAAGAAGGTGTGTCTGTCAGTTCTGACTTCACCGTTGTTAATTTTTCCCCTCCAGTTCTGAGTGCATGAGTTCACCGCGAGACATGGTATGAATTTTTTCTGACTTTGTAATGTGAGGTGGAAGATATTAAAAAAGATAGTGGACTAAAAATCCAAACACCTGTTTAATTTGAACTCAAAGTGCCAGTTCACTGTTCTTCTGCCATGTTTGTTTCTCTTTCATCTCTGCAGTCATGCACCCCTTTATATGGACCTCGTCTCATACAGCTTAGTGTAACTATAAAGTTCAAAAGCAAAACACAGTTGAGGCCTAAAATGGCTCAAAGCTGATGCACCTTGCATTACCAATAAGGATTATGTCACTTTACGGGTCATTCCTCCTTCGCTTTCAAAAACAATTGCAAGCCCCACAGTTCCACTCGGCCGGTGCATCAACAATGGCATTCATTTACAACTATTGGCCTTCTGCGCTAATCTGATCAGTGAAACCAATCTATTTTGTATGGCTGTCCAAGCCGTAGACTTAAACTCCTGTCTTGGAAACACAAACCAAGAGTCTTGACGGACTAAAACCACTTATTCAAAAAGGAACAGATTGTCAAACACTGCTTATTTCAGTTTGACAGCATAAAGAGATAATCCTTTCTTTCCAACTGCAGCAGGCAGGATAGCCTCACACAGCTGGTCCAGGCTGCTGACCATTGTGTGAAATGGTATTTAGCTTATTTGGTTTATATCAATAGTTTGGGGCGTGAACTAACACATACAGAAATTCTATTACGGTTTTTATCTGAAAGGTTTTACAAGGCATCCTCTGTTATCAAACTATTTACATTGACTGCAGCCAAAGGGGTATCATTAGACATCATATAATTATATTTCATTAAACCTTATCTTTCTGTTACTGATATCCTCGATTTCTAAGAGTCGTTAATCTTTAGTTCATAGTTAGCCAACAAACAGGCCACACAACCCCAGCCACAATTACAGCATCCCCTGTCCCGGGCCGGCTCTCCTTGGAGGAGACCTTTGTCTCAGCAGTAAGCATGTTGATTTGAACTAATTCGTTTTTCTCTAATTTAGTACTTTCAGCTCTTGCTTTCCTCTTGGCTTTGCCCCACTGTAACTTATACCCGTGGTAAGATTTACATCCTTACAGTGAGAGCCACAGCACCCATCACTAGACAGGATAAAGACCAGAGAAAATGAGTCTCCAGAGACTTTGCCGGGCTCAAAAGTAGGCTGCCAACAGTCACTAAAGCTTTGTTACGGTGCTGGCTTCAGATACCTTTTGTAGAAAAGCCCTTCTCAATGTGAAGTCTGGAGCAAAACTAGGCCTGATGTAATTGACACGGACTATTTATGAGATGCTCCTTGAATGGATGCAATAATGCAGGGCAAATGATCATTTATGTGGGGAAGAAGTGTGTGTTGTCTGGTGGAGATTATGGCCCAAACGCAAATGGAAAACATATATTCTTTAGGGCATTAAGTAATTATAATGAAGTCCTTGATACACCTTGGAACCCTATTTTTTTTTGGTTAAATATTAACAATTTTTTAGGGGAATCACAAAAGAGCAAGATACAAACACTGTGCGCAATTTACGCACACACATACGCATAATAAAATACAGTTGTGTAAAAAAAATCAAGCTGTAAACAAATGTTAACAGACAGCAACATACCCACTTTCAACTCTTTTCCGAAGACTGTCCTCTCTCCAAGCGCAGAGCAGTTCCAGCGCCCGTTTTTGAACTGAAACTGACACTCGTTGATGCCCATTTGGGCTCCCTCTCCGATGACGATAATGGCATCGGGACGACTCTGGCAGATAATCCGTTGTCTGGGGGCCAAACCGGGGATCTTGTTACAGATTATGCTCGCACCTAGGGCCACCACCGACGAGAAGCCACTGTGAATGGAAGATGGATATGACTGAGAAAAAGTACCATCAACCATTTTTCTTTTTTTTTGGTCGGTAGTTTCATTTTTTTTTTTTTTTTACTCTATATAGTTTACTTTACACTTTAAAATCAGATACATTCCACCAATTATTTGTACTAAATAGTGGTGGTCTTGATGAAATACATGGTCATAATTCAAATGTGAATATATAACTGTTGAAAATATACTGTTTTCCTGGGATAATTGCAGTATAGCATTAAAAATAATCACCTAAATGATTTTCCACTTTAGAAAAATATTTTATAACATGATTTTGATAAGGTGCAATACTAAACTAATTCTGATAATTCAAGTATATTACATTTGTCAGATAAGACTTAATTAGTATGCCACTATGCGTTTTAACAGACTTTAAATGTGAAATGAAGGAAATAAAATGTGTGGAAATAATGGTAAAACCGGGTGCTATCAGTCCAAGACAGGTTTACGCTCTTCCCTTTATCTTTGATATATCGTTTGTAAATTCACCTGCATGCTTTTGAGCTAATATTAGTTCAAATATCTACAAGAGGATTAACAATGATTAAACGTTTGATAGTTATTCGTCAGTTATTAGAGTTATTTGAGTTTAAGAAGAACGTAAAAACTAATGAAAGGCAAAATAACCGTAGCTCACCCAATTTTTAAATAAACAATTCCCAGACAAAGTAAAACTCTTAAAATCCAGCGTCTTGTTCTCCGACTCATTGCGGCCCCGCTCTCAGTTTCATGCAACGATCTGCAGAGCTGATGAGTAACTCGCTTCGCTTAGTCTCCGATCGATCACAGCCCAGGTAACTCCAAAGGGACTCCAAAATGACGAATAGCATCAAAAAATAGCACACGATCGGGAAAACTGTTTACAAATTTCCGGTTAAGGTATCATCCAAACTCCCTTTACGTGGCCCGCTATGGCTGGGCCCTGTTGTCATTGCGAGGGTGTCACAGGTAACCCTTGGGGTGAGCAAGTGCGATTATCTCTTTCTCACAGTTCCTCTACTACCCGCAGGTCCTGGCTATATATCTGGCTCATCTATCTGGGGCGTGTTCTCATGAGACATGGGGCCCTGCATGTTGAAGAATCCCGCCAGGGCTGAATCTCAACACACGCACTAGCGCGCACACGCAATCACAAGTATACAAGTACGCGTGCGCGCACATGCACCTTATGCTGTGAATTCACCTTGACTGATTGGCTTTTCTTGGTCAGTGAGTGGGTCAGGGCCTAAAGTAAAGTGGACATAAGCTTACTTTTACGCAGTTTAACACCGAAATTAACGATATGTTTCCACACAAGCTGCAGATAAACAGTCTTAAAACAAATACAAAATGCACTGACTTAAAACAAATAAGTAGATGCATTGTAACCTAGACAAATTATACTCCCTTCCCTCTGTTCCCATATGGTTGAATCAAACATTGATCATATCTAATACGCATTTGTTTACTTGATTATAGTTTAATAATTGTTTAGATCTTTTGTTCATATGCTACTATAAGAATAATTTATCCACTTCATTCAGTTTTATAAATCATCTGCTACGCACTTTCCCTTAGTGCGTCTCTCTTCCATGGACTTTCCTTTGGATCATCTACCTTTTATAATAGCGACATCTGGTGGCGCAGTGAAGACCTTTCAGGCTGTGTTCTGAAAAACACAACCCTTATTGTCCCTGTTTAGTTTCCGTAGTTTGCCTAAACTATGAAGTGTTTGCGTGTTGTTGACGCACAGAAGGGAGATAGCTGGTGCTGGAAAATAACATCAGTATGGATCTCCATCCGCCGCCATTGATCCGGGATTGCCTTATTCATATTTTTACATTCCTGACTGAGGAAGATTTAATCACTGCTTCCAGTGTGTGTCAGGTAAGGAGTGTCTAACTTGCGGAAGTAGCTCGTGTGCCATGAAGCCATTCTATGATTCCCCAAAAGTCTGATTTGTGTTTGATAACATTTAACAAATGTATCTTTTAGGATTGGAATGAAGCTGCAGAGACACCTTGGTTGTGGAGGTGAGTTGTCTTACTTGTTAATGATTTGAATGTTTTTAAATTCTATTTTATCATGTTATTTCCTAATGCTCCTCATTTTTGTAAAGCACTGAATTGCCTTGTGTGAAGGTGCTATATACATAAACTAGACTTGCATGCCTGTCTGTACTTTTGTTTCTGTATTTTCCAACGTCAAGCAGATGATGCTCCTGTGATCTGTGAACATATCTGAATGTCCAATCCTGTTGTCCCCTCAGGAAGATGTGTTTGCAGCGCTGGAGTTTCTGTAACCTCGCTGTCCTGGGGAGTGAACCCGTAAATCACTCATGGAAGAGATACTTCCTGCAACGCTGCCACTTAGAGATGAAGATGACGACAGGCAGGTCAGGAGGTTACACCTGCAAAAGCCTCAGAGGACACGCAGGTATGCTGTCTCTCTGTGAGATCTTCTTTGCATGTCTTCATGTAGTCTCTCATTAAATGTTTACACCTGACATGCTGTCCATCAGGCAGAGTGGTAGGGCTGGTGTACCTGCAGGGGAACTCAGCCCGGAGTCCTGACCTCTGGAACAGCCGTGCCACAGTGTGCAGCGCCTCCACTGATGGTACAGTCCGAGCGTGGGACATCCAAAATGTTAGTGACACCTCACCCTGTATTCCCAGTATAATATTGTTAAGTATTTGTACAATTAGTATGATATTGTATCTGTATAAATGCTTGTTTGTAGGCACAGCATTTAAAGAAGATGAAACCAAACTTGCAAAGTAGATTTCTGTCATAAATTGATTGTTTGACTTTACAGATAATGCCTCAACAACATGTCAAACTCAAAATAAGTGTCTGGTGTCACATGCTGTGAATCCTTATCAGTGTCTGGTGACATTGTTTGAATGCGGACATCATGCTGCTTTCTTAGCATAATAATGTAGAGCATTTGTTGACTTTTACAATACTGTATAGTGTTTGTACAAATGCTTGTTATGAGGCACAGCATTTAAAGAAATGTATTCCAGATTTCTGTATTATTCCATGAGTACCTTTCTGTCCTAAATTGATTTTGTTTGACTTATCAGATAATGCTTCAGAAAACATGTTAAACTCAAGTGTCACATGCTGAGAGTCCTTATCAGTGTCTGGTGACATTGTTTGAATGCGGGCATCATACTGCTTTCAGATATTTATCTACACAAAACTTTAATTGAAATGTGCTAAAGTCATGTGCTACGGCAAAACACATGCATTTCACCTAATCCCACTGAAACAGATTTTCTAAATTGGCTCCCTCTTCTTGGTTAAAAAAGTCTACAGCCACTGGAATATATTCCCTCACAGAGGCCTGAGACTGAGCTTTCTTCCCTCAGGGTGAGCTCCTGTGGTGCAGCCCCGTTCAGAGTCCTTTGACAGCGATTATTGGGGATGAACGGCGTGAAGTTGTGATCACAGCAGACTCCACAGGCCTCATCAAGACCTGGCAGGGTGAAAGCGGCCAGGAGGGGGCCTCTTTTGCTACTGGCTCTCCACTCGGTTCATTACTACAGTATAACATCAACAACAACTGGTTTCTGACTGTGAGTAACTTCAGATTTGTTGGGTTTGTAAATCTGTAAATGATGTAGTGTGTTGTTTCTAGTAAATCGTTATATATTCTCTTCAGGTTGGAACCAGCCAGGGATCTGTGTGTACACTAGCAGATTCAGCTTTGACTAAAAAGTCCAGTGTGATGGTGTGTGACTCTTTCAAAGTCAACACTCTCCTAGTTTCACGTGACAAGAAATGGATCACTGCTGGAACCAAGGACAAGGATGATTTAAGTCCAAAGGTATTTCTTGTTGTGTTTGACAGTCTGACTTTATGTGGGTGTTTCCTGCTCTGTTCTGCAATCATGTGTTTGTTTTTTACCACATTACCTCAGCTCGAATGACACAGCGGGAAATAGGTGTTTATATATAAGATCAATGAACGATTACATACACATTTTGTAGATTTTTGGTGTTTGCTTTGTTGGCAGGTGATTTACACGGAGAGTTTGACCTCACCGTCTGAGGACGAAGATCCTCTGTGCCAGTCTTTGCCAGTCACAGGGTGCCAGGCCGCTGTCTTCATCCCCACTCAGCCTGCGAGACTGGCCCTCATCCACCACAACAGGCTCCCTAACAACCAAGTCCTCACTGTGTTCGATGTCAGCATTAAAAAGACCAAGTACAAGTCCGAGATCCAGGGTGAGGATTAAGATATTTGCAGATTGACTTTCAGAGGCTTTAAATTGGATGCAGAATCTTAATTTAGCCTTTAAAAAAGTTGTAGTGAGCCCTTGAATTATTCTAAGCAGATCTATCTCTACTTTCTGCAGATATTGTTAAGCAGCTGGTGTAGAATCTGCCAGATTGGATCCATTTGTCATTGTGTATCTTTCTTATTTCTGTTTATGAAAACGATTCAAAACATATAGAAAGTGGAATTATCTTTTTTTACTTTATCCTGCAATCAGGATGACTAACGGGAGGGTTACTTCTGTATAAGCCTTGCTTTCTGCCCTCACGCTTCTACTAATTTTTGTTTGTTTTTTGGATGTGTAAACTGTCTGTCTAATATTGTGAAATAGTAGAATAAATTATAAAAAAAATAGGTAAGTAGGTAAATATGAATTTAAACAGTAAAACGGAATGAAAGTGTGTACCCCAAAATGTACATGACAACAAAATATCTCAGAATAAATCCCTGAAATCTGCAGTCACAGGTATTTAGATGGATTTTTCCTAAATGTTGTTGGCTTGTGCTGGTATAATTTTGAGCGTCTTCTCATCTTAGTCCAGCAGGTGGAGTCCTTCCCTTTGACACTGAACAGCCGGTACTCAAAGGTCCTTCTGGAGGCCGCTGACAGTAACTGCTTAGTGTTGGCAGCCGGGCGGGAGCTATATGTCTACTCTCTGAAAGGAGCCCTGATTGCTAACTTTAAAGAGCATACCATGTCTATCTCTTCTATAAGCGTGGTAGGTTTCTTTCATATTTGGAATCAAAATAAATATTTCTTCACTTGTTGATTTTTGTTTTGTTTTATACAGTATAATGTACTATATGTGTGAAAGAGCCTACTAAAAGTGTCTTTTATATTTACAGGATAGCTTTCGTGTGGTGACAGCATCTCAGGATCTTTCCTTACGGGTGTTGACATGGGGAAAGGACAGAGACCATGGGTTGACCCTAGAGAGCCAATACCATTTACTGGGAGGCTCTCACACAATGTCCAGGTACATTATCCTATGTGCTGCATCAACAACAACCAATTTACTAATAACGGAAGAGCCTGAATATAAGTATTTTCTGAGTATTTGCATGTTGCCTCATTAGTAATTTCCTAAACCTGTTGCTTTCTTTTATGCTTTGTGCGCTGTTGTCCAGAGGGTTCACGCATGTCGCCTGCGACTACTCCAGCATCACGGCCTCAGCAGAAGGGACAGACGGAAAAGACGTCTTGAAAGCATATTCTTTCACCTCTTGAGTGACATTGCTTCACATAAAGGTGCCTACAAGCAGTTTGCACAAGATACTGGGAAGAGTTACATTTGCTTTTATTATTGTTTTTTATATATGCAGACATTTGGATGTTCTTTGGTTAGTGTATGTTCAGAGACACCAGAATATAACACTTATTAAAGATTAGAAACACCCACCATGTTATGGGAAAGGCATTGGTAAAGGTATATTGATAATGTTTTCCACTATGCTTTTGGATCTGTTAGATATGACCAGGGGCCTGTACTACGAAGCTGGTTCAACCTAACCTGGATATGTTGGAGTTAGCCGGTTGGCCTAATCCAAAACATACGCGCTCTCGCTAAACGGTACTACGACGCGGGTTATCAAGTGGATCGCTCAAGCCAGCCGTGCCCTATCTAGTTAGGTGCGCGTTCACATGAAAGGGGTGGTATCTGGAGCATTCGACCAATCACAAACACGGAGAAGCGTACTGACAGCGCAGTGTCATACTTCCTGAATGAAAAGTCAACTATAATATTAGACATATGAAGAAGTTAAACTTTAAACATCCATGACTTAAACACTTGATCCAGGATCAAAGCCACAGAGCTGCACCTGCAAGGTGAATACAGCTGGTAACAGAACAAGTGTTTGAATGCGTACATTAACAGGTTTATGATATCACTGCCCCGTCTAAAACACGATCTGACTTTCATTACATTTGACTCGAGTGTTTCCTCAACTTAATGTGTTGCTTAAAATAATACTTCTGCATACAGTATGTGACACTGTGAGTGTTGCATGGCCAGATACGGCTCAGCTGACTCAGATAAGGAGATATATGATACATTATGATGTGATGTGCCGCGGACTGTACTTAATGTGACTCTGATCCGGTTACTTATGTTGTGGCAGATATTTAAGTAAGCTTTCTTAACGCTAATGTTATAATAGTCAGATTGCTCTGAAGATGGGAGGTGATATTCTATTAATGTTCACGTTCACACAGTCAGTGATTTTTGCAGGCCGTCTTTCCTGCGACGGCAGCTTTTCTGTATTTCCTTTCTCCTGTAATATGACTTGATCGCTTAAAACTCCGCACACTGAGCTCTGAGTGGTCAGCAGGCAGTGCTTTCACTGAGTTGAGCTCTTGGCCTGCAACCTAACCTGCTCCGGAGCAGGTTAGCCGCTAAGCATAAGTTACCATGGAGATCTAGCCTGCTAAAAAGAGAACCAGCATCGTAGGACCGGAAAGCCGGAGTTTTCCCTGAATTTAGCCGGCTAAGCGAAAATCCTGCTTCGTAGTATACCCCCCAGGTCTAAAGGCATGATGTGTGCAAAATATATTCACCTGTTCTTCAATATGTTAGCTCCACTCACTACTTAGGTAAGAAAATACTGAATTGTGTACTGCATTATTGACAATAATCCATTTACTGTACATTCATGCTAAGACCAAAGAAAATAAAAACAACAAAATATATTTAAAGAGCTGTTATTATTATTACACATTTAATCCTTAAGGCACAAAAGCATCCTTTCCTCCTTCATGCGTCCACATGGAAGTCCAGGCAGTGCATGCATGACTGGTAGTAAATATATTTAAGTGTAGGAAAATGTTGGACTCAATGCTTGCATCTCTTCCTGTTCTTTGGCGATTCTCCTCATGTCCTCAAGGACACATCTTAGGACTGCAATCATGGACTCGTACACTTTGCTATCATCTTCTGAGATATTTCTCATCTGTTCAAAGGCAAATAAACTCTCAAGTTGTTAAAACAAAACCAATGACAAGAAAGTAATACATTTGCTGAAATAAATCCCAAATAGTTAGGTGTATGGACTATCTTACCCAGGTGAAAGCCTTGATTGTACGATTCAGGAAAGCATTTTCAACCTCTTCTGGTATCTGCTGCATATGAGCCATACAATCTAGTATGCAAGTTAATGTTTGTAAACAGGCCTGGGAAGAGATAAACAAAGAATAATTCAAACGTAAATTTGAAGGCTGCATAGTCCACGGAATTCGTCTTCAAATACGAATCAGCACTGACCTTGTCCAGTGTGTTGAGGACAGTTTGAGCGTCAGTGTTGTTGGGGTCCAGGGCTTTGGCCTCCTGGATGGAGATGACCGGCTCTTTGAGCTGCTCCAGCCAGGACCACATGAGCCCAGTGAGTATGAAGGGGTCCCGCTCCATGCACAGCCTCTCCCAGCCACCTCCCAGGTTCAATTCTGCCTGCACATATTCAGGCACTCGTATTAGACCCTGTCTGCCTTTATGTGACTGAGGCAACTTTTTAGAAAGATAGCATGCCTGTGGGCGTGGTCTTTTTTAATGTCATCTCAAGAGTGATCAAAGTTAGAGCATCATTTAGTTTGCATCTGAGATTTTTCTTATATTATGAAGAAAAATTATCAAAGTGCGAACTCAAAATATGATTTATGTCACTGAAAATATGAAAAAGTTGTGCATGCAATAAGGCCTTTGTTGTGGTTGTGAATTGTAGTCTGTCATGAACCGCTGACAGAACTTACATTAAAGTATAACATCAGCCTTGATGGACGAAGTGTAGCATTTACGTAATTTTGAAATGCATGCCCTCCACTTCTAAAAATACTACTACCAAGTTGTCAGTTACCTGCCAAGCGAGGATGCTGCTCTTATGCTCTTCTCCACCATCAAGACAAAAGTCCACTGCCAGGGCCTGAGCCAATAGAAGCCTCCGGGCCTCCGGGGACAGCTCCGACTGCAGGGTGATGAAGGGCACGTCTGATACCTCCTCTTCTCTCTTATCTCCAGGCTTCTTCCCATGCATTACTACTCCGTCCCTCTGCTCAACATTCCACCTGGATAAAAAGCTACCTTTTTTGGTAAAGTCATTGTTTCCCACAGACCCAGTACGCTGGATGGTGCTCTGCTGGGCGTTCTGCAGTAGACGGGATCCATCTTTTTGGTTTTCTGAATTCTTGATTTGCCAGAGTGAGCCTGTTGAGCCGTGTGAAAAGTCAGACATGTTGCTTTCACAACCTTTAATATGGATTGCCTGGTCCGGTGGAGAAAAAGACATTTCAACATTGCTCCGTGACATGGGACCTAACTGTGAGCCGAGTCGTGTCAAGTCAGACTCACTGTAGCTCAGACTTTTGCGATGGTAGAAAATGGGTGGTTCGTGAAAATGCCTTGGTAATGTGGGCGCACCTGGTAAGCGGGGTTCCTTTAAAAAATACTCTGGGCCCATCTTCTCAATGACGCTCAGAGTCATCTCTATGTCTTCAACATCAGGGGCCACCAGAATGTCTTCCTCTATCACTTGTCGATTCTCTGCGATGTCCAACAGCAGCCTAGACACTAGCCGGACGATCTTTGGCAGGTGCCTCAGCTCCTTCCTCTCATGGCCATGCAATATGTGTCTCTGGCGGTTCAGGTACTGGGACAGGGTGACTGAGTTGAATCGGGGCTCAGCACAGGAAAACACACGCCTCAAAGGGGCAAGGAACTGGACAAAGTCTCTGACACATCCTAACTGGCCTCGGGTCTGGATGGAGTTGGGCCGTTTAGCACGAACAAACAGAATAGCCTGGTTAGCAGTCATCCTGGTAGCATAGGCCAAGAAGCATGCTATCAGCACACCTGCAGGGAAGAAAGAGGAAACCCTTGTATTTCAGAGGAATAACGGTCCTTAACACTTCCTAAAGCATTCCTTGAATATATATACCTGTTCTGCCGAGGCCAGCGTGACAGTGGATTGCTATCTTTCCCTCCTGCAGGGCGAAGGCCATGACCTTCACTATGTCGAGCATCGTTGTCAGGTTGGCCACTCCATAGTCACTCCAGCCGAAATTGTAGAAATAAACTGAAACGGTGAGATGTTGGCAGTTAAATCTGAGCAACAATACAGATAAACCAAGATGTATTGTATCGAGCAATTACTGTTGTTTTCCATGAAGACCTCTGGGCGGTATGAGAAGCCGCTCTCTGGCTCCAGAGGGTTTCCGCAGCTGGCGTGTTCACCAGGTATCTGTAGGTTGATCACTGTTTTAATACCATCCCTTGACACACACACACACACACACAAACAGAGACATGAAAAATGCATTATTATCGTCTCCTCAGGTGCTGTGTGTTCGTAGTCAGGAAGCTGCTGAAAACAAAATTGTCTATACCTTCTGAATTGATCGATGATGTGATACTTCTTAATGATTTCTGTTGAGGGTCTGGACATTGCCAGAAGATGATCAGTGATCCTAAAGCAATAGAAAAAGGTTATATTAACATGGAAAAATATCATTTCAAAAGCTGTTAAATTATGTTGTACTATGACAACTACTAAAGAGAAACATGTTTACCATGATGAGTAGAGGCCTGTTATGGCCTGTTGGTTATCACTCCAGTAATTTGGGTTGTCATATTTGCAGGCTGGACCTCTACAGCCTATTGAACATTGCATATGTCCAGGGACGACATAACGTATAGCTTCCCCTACAATCGTGTACTTTGACCTGGGGGCTCTGACTGGAAGAGACAAAAAAGAGACATCTGTTATTACACACAACTTAAATCCTAAATTGTAAGTATTATAACTATAAGATAGCTGTTTATTGTTTTTAATTTACTCTCAAAGTTAAACTGGAAGCTTTAGTTAAGTGTTTTCTCGGCTGAATTAAATAATATTTGAATCCTCTTACAGCTTCCATATTATTCAACAGCACTTCACCAAATAGGTTGGTCTGTAGCATCTAAATAATTAACTCCAGTAGAGGTGTCTAATCCTTGTTTGGCTTTGCAAGTCTGTTATCTGGGCATCACAATAAAAGTAGTAGTCTATCATCCAGGCATCACAATAAAAATAGCCACAGGCACTTTTGAAATCCATTTTGATATAGTCATTGACAGATACGTTATTTTATTGACGGCCAACTACCCGTTTTACTTACTGTATTCCATCAGAGCGCCACCTGTTGTCTTTACATGGGATGCCATATGTACAGTCACACAGACTCACATCCACAGTCATAGCAGAGCCTGGAAGCACATAGATCTAGTTATGCTATATTACACACTTTATCATGTGCATCTGTAAACATGTGCACAAAATGTGCTTAGAGCCTTCTCGTAAGCCTGAAAAACCGTCCTATTAGCAGTTTACTAACAGGATGGATAAGGCATCTCAGAAGTTACCAGAGCTCAGGATTGTTTTATTTTTGGACTTTATAAACCTAAGTCATCATTACGTTTTTATACACGTCAAGAGAAGTTAGATTAGTCCAAATTAGATTAGACATTATATCAAAGATCAACATTTAAAATCATATTCAGTCAAGTATTCAGTCAAATGTAAAGCAGCCATATAAATAATCGGCAAGCTGCTATTCTTAACTGCCAGTTTTAGTAGCTCATCACACTACAACCTTTATTTCATTTCTTCAAGACCAATGTGCAAAATAATCAACTTTTAATTTATGTAAAAAATGAAAGTCTGAAGTAACAATAAATACAACAAAATAGAACAAAAAACATTTCATTTGATAAAAAAAGAAGATATATTTACCTGTAGTAAGTGAGACGAGATGCTTGCAACCACCATCTACAAACACAAATGGTTCACAGCTGCAGTTTCCAACCTTTCTGACATCAATCTCCACAGCGCTGACGTTGTCTTCTCCTTTCCGCACTGTGGAAAGTCAATCCCTTGGCCTCACTTGATTTGATTCGTCTCAGATTATCCCTGTGGGGTAGGGTGGGGCAATCCAAGACACTCAAAGGATCCTGTGCTCTTCTTTGTAGAAAGTCATCTATCCCACAACGATGACAGATCAAGCATGTGAATTAATTAACCTCAAGAATGCGTTGAAAGGTAGCTGTGTGCTTTGTAATTATCTCCATGAAAAGGTTCCTCCTGCCTGTGGCTCTGGGGGGAGTGTAGGGCTATTCCAGAGTCTAGTTGGATTAGACTACTAATCTTATTACTGTAGTTAAAAACGAGAGCAACCAGTCCTTAAAAAAATCTTATACTATATCAGGCGGCTGTGGTTTAGTGGTTAATGTGCTGGACTTCAAATCAGGGGATAGCAAGTTCGAGTCCCACTACAGTCAGCATGTCGTTGTGTCCCTGGGCAAGACAATTCACCCCAAATTGCTCCTGTAGGGTTTGTCCACAGTACTGAATGTATGTAAATCTCTTTGGATAAAAGTGTCTAACAAAATGACATGTAATGTAATACTATATCCACATTACTGTTCTGCTGGTCTGTTTTGAAATACTATGATTGTGTCTATGAATGCCCATTATTAAAAGATGGTATAGAACTGGTCAGATTTCTGACATGTTTTTCTATGCATTTGATTGATAATATGCATGTTTATTGTTGTGAATATATTCAAACAGATTTTGGATTTTTATCATGAGAGTTTGGAAGACTTCTGAACAGTTAAACCCCTCACACCATACGGCTACAAATAGTTAGACCTAATTGACAGAGCAAGTAGATGAAAACTGATTGGCTTATCTTGCACTTTGCTAAAGCAGTTTATGTTAGGTTAGAGGGGAGAGATCTGTCTACTACTACATGGAGAGACTTGAAAGCCAATAATCCCATTGAAATACTAAAATGCTGCTGTCAACATAGAGCTGTCAACTGAAACCCTTTGCATGCATATCTTTGCCTACATGTGTGGATTATTGCATGTTCTTCCTTACTAAAACTGTTATTTATTATGAGGCTTGTGTTGTGTGTGTTGGTGTTCGGATTAGGGGGTCACAGGTTCAAACCCCACTGAAGTCAGCATGTCGTTGTGTCCCTGGGCAAGACACTTCACCCCAAATTGTTCCTGTGGGGATTGCCCACACCACAGTATTGAGTATGTAAGTAATTTAATGTAATGTATTAATAATTCATGTCAATTAAGTGACACCATATTATGAATAGTCACTATAATTTCACAAAAGCATATATCATGCATCATATGCGGACTGATCAAAGTGATATTTATTACATTAGGCAACATTTTGATTACGCATTTTGGAACTTGTGAGACATATAATACTTACTCGCATCTCTAAAGATCTTTGATTGGTCTGTACATTGACAGCAAAATCAACTATAATTCTAAAACCCCCTCAGTAACAGATAGGAACAAGGACAAAACGTTCCGTCAACACAAAACTACTAAGCTAAATGCATGACATGTACTATATATAGGGGGACAGAGAAAAACCCATGCATAACATGTTCGTGCTTATCTCATCAGTCTCACCGTGACAAACAGAGTGGGCTGCAGAGCCAAGAGCCAACCATGTGATTAAGACAAACATACTGAATTGTTGATGCATGCATCAAAACATGCTAAATTAATCGTAGTAGTTGTCACTTTAAATTGCAAGTTGAGAATAAAGTAAAAGTATTTTTTTGTTTTATTTCCCCTTAATATGATTATCATTTGAATTAAAATTATTTTCAACCTGTAGTTTTAGTTTGCTATTTCCCAGCTTCTCCCCCCCCTCCCCCCTCACAGCAGACATGTTTGCCTGTGTCATAGCTGTAAAATCACAGGTGTAACTAATCACATCAACAATGGCTCTGTTCCACGTGCAGTAAGTGAGCAAAGCCATGCACTGACCCAGCTTGTGCTTTACCAGGGCCAACATTAATTGTATTAAGCACACTGGAGCTTGTCCTGAAAAGACACCTCAAATTGTAGGCTATGAAAGAGTGCTATTAGATGTTGATTCCTAGGTGAGATACACTCAGGGCCGGTTTTTGGCATAGGTTTTTGGCATAGGCGGTCGCCTAGGGTGCCAGATCTGGGGGGGGGGGGGGGGGGCACTGCGCTGGTAGTTCTGGGAGGGAAAAAAACATTTTTGACTGTTTGGCTCATCCTAATTTTCAGCCTTGATGTAACAACATTCATAATTAAGTCAAGGTAACACCCTTTTCACCCCGGTTACACTTTAATTTGCCCTGTACTATGGGCGCTGTAAGTGATGAAAGTGGGGGATGTTGACTTATCAGGCGCCTGCAGCTCAAAGCCAAAGTGCGAGCCTCCGAGCGAGCGAGCAAGAGAGAGAGGGTGCGCATCGGTACTGCGGATTGTTGTTGGATTGAGGCTGATAACTACAGCTCAGTGAGGTAAAGGACTCTGAGTGTTTAGATAGTTTACTTTAGCCTAAGTTATTTCAGTGGGTCTCAAACGGTTTGGTCACAATTTATGTAAACAAATATTTCCAAGGCACTCCTTTATAATTATTAGGATAAATAAAAACAGGTTTGAAATCATTCCAATGTATACTATAGGACAGTAAACCAAAAATATCGTTTAAAACTGGAGATATTAAAAAATATGCATAAATAAATGAATACTAGGTACTAGGTAAATACTAGGTAAAATAAGATATAAATGAACCACAAAAATAAAATAAGTTACATTTATTTGTTATTGGCTATGGTAGGTTATTGGTTATGTTCACATACTTATTTGATTAATAAAATGTAAACCGATATTTTTCATATGGGTGTTTAGAGTTGCACCAAATCATAATCTCGCCTAGGACACCATAATGTCTAGAACCGGCCCTGGATACACTGCATTATGTAAATAGTAGTATGTAAATATTATGTAAATAGGGGTATATGTAATAGGCCTATAATTATACCAATTTAGAAGATAAAACCTGACTGTGAAGGGGGGAGCTAATCGAAATGTAATGGAAATAGGAAGACTTCTGTGAAGAAGTGTCAATACCGTGGCCATAAATGTGATCTCTATTTAGCATTTATTTAAAAAATATTCTTTCATGAATGTTCCGACAGATGGCAGCAGATATACATTTGGCCACTGCTATGCAGAAGCTACAACAAACGCTTCGGAAAGGGATTTCCGTGCTCCACATAAGCAAATAAACAAAGCCTATTGGGAGATGAGTTCTTTTCCTAGCGTCGCCAGACCCTTTCAGTTGGCTTCACGTACTAGAAGTACTACATTTCCCGACAAGCACTATGGCCCTGTAGGAGCTATCCCAGCTGGTTGCGTAGGTGCGTCACATTTCATCAAGCGGACCTTTCAGCTGTTTAAAAAAAGCCGGTGCTGATAACATTAATTTACCGGAACTTAATCGTCCATGCTTTCAAAATAAAAGTTTTCAACCCTTGGAAAATAATCAATAGTTTATCAATTACACTTATATATTCTTCTTCTAATATATTCAATTTCATTTTGTTACTTTAACAAAGCAACAATAAACCCGCAACCACATGTGTTGTAAAATCTGGAGCGTTATTTTATCGAACAAGGGTTTTATTTTGAAATTAAGAAACAGAAGTTGTACATCCTTTTTTCCTGTCTTGGCAGTTGGTGCTCCTGATCAGGCGCAATTGCTCCAACGAGCGGGGGAGAGGTGAAGAAACCGCAGAAGCTCAACGATGAAGCACTTTTAAGAGATAACGACGAGCTCCCCCGTCGGAGATAATTAAACAGGGTCATCTACATGACCAAAGAAACAGGACTGGCAACGAGAAACGCAAACGTAACAATCATGCAATTTAAATATAGACGAATTTAAGCAACCGCTTCTTCTTCAAGGTTACATCGCTTGAAGACGCCCCAGCATCCCCCTTGTCGTAGATCAGCTGGTTGGTTGATCATCACCGGTACTGACCATGTCCGTGGAAGAGAAGGGCTATCCCGACGCTATGCTGCTGCTGCGGGCCGAGGTCGAGCGTCTCTCCCGGGAGCTGAGTGACACCACGAACGAGAAGATCCAGGCGGCTGAGTACGGGCTGGCGGTGCTGGAGGAGAAGCAGCAGCTCAAGCAGCAGTACGACGACCTGGAGATCGAGTACGAGGCTGTCAGGCAGGAGGCGGACCAGCTCAAAGAGGTTAGTTGATTTTTGAAAATCACAGAATATACTTAAGATGAATCACCTATTCTATTTATAGGCCCTACGAATCAACATTGCGTACACACTAAAACCCTTATATTTATGTTTGGGCGAATACATATTTGTGTCACCATGAGAACAGATTTACATTGAGCTTTTTAATGTTCTTATTTGCATAGTGTCATCCCAGTATTCTATAGGGACTGTGATATTTGGCATCTGTCTTTTATCCTACAAGGTCAAAACTGCTAAATGAAGAGGGGATGCTTCCCCTCTCAGCTGCTCCACACCCCCACCCCCTCTTTACTCTGTGTCCCCCATTGCACTGCCACCTTTATTTATTTATACAGCTCTTCTGGCCTCTTTTGAAGACATACCTGTCTGACTCTCAGCTAGTCTAGGCCTAGTGTTTCCACCCCACTTCTTCTATGTCTTAATCATGAGTATCTACTGACTGTACACTATATGATACATAATGACTGTGTATCTGCAATACGTTGCTGTGCAAGCTTGATATAGAACATCAAAACCAATCAGTCATTCAGTTGCATCATATGTTGTTGTTTCTTGGTCAAAGAGTGTTTAGTCTAAGTTCCTTTTTTAAATGTACATTACATGGAGAGTTGACATTAAAAAACAACACATGTATGATTGGTATGATATATTATCTTGTCAAAGTGTCTCTCAGCTTGGGCCCTCTTCTGTGAACAAGAATTACTAGTTTAGTTTGAAAGGGGCGGGAGTAGGTTTGAATTTAAACCTTCCCGCTCGGTAGAAAGAGGGATGAAACCAAACCAGACCAGTTATGACCTTTGGGAATGGAAAGAATGTTAAGAGTGACGATTCAAGCTGGGCTCAAGAGTCAGATAAAGCCTGTGTCTGTTTTTTCAGGACAGTGGCCTGACTTATTCCCTACTGTTGTATCATATTGTGTCCACGTTTCTTCACTTGAGCAGCAGTTAGAAGGAGAAAAGTATGGCTGTTAAGTGACGTAATGCAGACATTTCCACCAACGGTTGCAGCCTCCTACTCCTGTGCCCAGAAGTAGTCATGGAAATAAGTCAGATTCCCGTTTTTTCACACATGCTTGTTCATGGTTGCTCACATCCTCCTTTGAGATATGTGTCTGCCGAGATCTACCAGTCCAAATAGAGAGGCGTAGCCATTACTGACAGCCTACTACCAGGTAAATACACACTTCTACTTGTATAAAACTGACCTTTGTACGATTAATACTTCATAAAATACTGCAGATCCTTTATCTTACCTCTTTCTAATCTACACACATACAAGTATTTAACTGAAGTTACACAACAGTGTTGTTGATACAGAGTTTATTCACACGTCACTACAGTGGGTAATGTTTTCAAGAAACATTGAACAGTGCTGCCACATATGACACAGGACAAAAAGAAAAGACACTAAACCCTTTCTTTGCCATTATATAAAAATAGTGTTGCTACAAAAGTATAAATTAGGCTTACTAATAAGACAACTCAGATCTGAAGCTACACAGGAATCTGCTGCAACAGTGCAATAAAAAAGACAAAATTAATAGAATCAAACCCTTTTTTTGTTGTATTTTAGTAGATTATAAAAATAAATGCCTTTTTTAAAATAGGATGCAAGCAACTCTAGTTTCTTAACCTGAATTGATAATAGACTATAATCAATTTAAGTTTGCATTCTTATACCATTTTGTACAATAATTATAATGAATAAGTTCAAACAAACTAAAACTTACAGCTGATTAATAACGGCATCTAGCTTGAGTTTTTATTATATCAACATGAAAATGGACTGCTGTGCGTTTAGCTGTCCTTTCAGGCCCCTCCCCTTTTGGAGCGTAGGGCAGAATTAGGAGGGAATTCCGTCTCGTAGCGTTTGTGCACTGTTTTGAAATGCCGCTCCTAAATTACCCTTCTTCGATAAAGCCACGCTCGCATTGCAGATGAGACAGATGGACTTTGAATTGGAATAAATACAAAAATAATCATCCTCCCACTCGGAGTGAGAATTATATATTTTGGGCTTTTTTGCTTCTGCCATAATTGCGGTCTTGTGTGTGTGCGGACTGTCACTCCTGTTGACATGGACAACGTCAGCGAACTATGCCCACCAGCCACGCCCCGACACATGGGGTCACGCCGGCCAATCACAAAGCTTTGATGCGTTCAACTGCATTATTCTGGCACAGGAAGATTATGTAATAGGACATTAACGATAAAACAGAATATTGTTGTTCTATTTTTAGACACATCTCGCGATCGACTGGGAATCTCCCCGGTCGATCGCGATCGACTGGTTGGGCACGATCATGGTAAATCCCTTATTACCTTGCCAGAAATCTGCTCGTCTCTCCCTTGGGTTTCTGTGCTTTTCAGTAGAGACACCAGAGAGAAAGGGGTTTTCAGCGCTATGCTTCTCCCTCTTCTCTCTCCGTCTTCCACCCTCTCTCTAGTTGTTGTTATTTTCTTTGGCAAGAAGGCCTTGTCGGCCACAAAGGACAGCAAACATATCTGTATAGAAGAAATGGACGGGAAATGGTCTAAAACAGAAACCAACTAAAACATAAAAAAGGAGCACAGGCTATTCAGGAGATATTTCTAGATTTTTCAAAATATGCCATTTGAGGTCTGGTAAAAAAGAGACTGTCATTGTGAGTCTATTGAGACTCCTAGATTTTTTTTCCTTTCAGGCACATAATGGAACACAAACATCCATCTGTGTAGGTAATAAACTCAATTGTGTGCTCAAAACTGTGGCAGAGGTTCTTTCTTTTGCCTCAGGGTTGGGTTATACAGGTTGTAGATCACTGGTCAGATGTTAAGCCTTAAAAGACCTACTATGTTCCTTTATCCCTACCCAGCCCCCAACCCGGTCTCTGTATGAAGGCCAGAAGTGATGCTATCACATAGAAAAACAAACACATTCTTCTGACATCCCTCCCCACTTCCTCTGTATTGTCCGAGGAAAGCAGTTGATAGTGGGGAGCCAACATAAGATAAGCTACTGTCCCAGTGGCTTATCTTAGTGTTCAGTTGCCACTCAAAAATCAAATGTCGGCTATAATTCAAGAAATCACTGCAATTGTGAAAAGACAAATGCCATATTTATCAGCCTCACATTTGTGTTGCTCTTTTTTGTGGGACATTTTGAGGTAGGTCAGACTGACAGTGTGGCTTTGTCTGCAGCTGTTACAAAGCACATAAGACAGTTCTTTCATTGGTCAGGTATACATTCCATGTCCTCTTTAGTACACAACTACTATTTACACTGACTGTGGCTAGTGTTTGGATGTGTATTCGAGGACTTGGACATACTAGAATAGATTGTCTGGGAGATTTACAAAGAGCTTCTCCACTGACCACACACCTTTCGTTTGGCTTACTGGTATTCGTAAATGTAAAGAGCTCAGATTTATGTGTATTCATTGCAATTGAAATGCCAAGATAGATACCCCTCTTTTGTCTCCTGCTGGATGTAAACAGCTAACCAGAAATCATCATGACAGTGAGCAAACTTACCCCCGCAATTCCCCACCTTCTTACTTACCCTTTGGCAGGGCACTTATATTCACACAGAAGCACACTCCCACATACCCGCTACTCTTGAGGCAGGAAGATGGAGGAATTCTGCGCACTGCTGTTGCTTAGTAACGGCACAGCTCTGTGTTTTAATCTGAGTGGCTGTGCTGCCTTCCTCAGCAGGTGCTGCTTCCTGGGTGTGTTGGTTGATCACTCCATAGCGTCGATCATATACCTGCTAGCTAGAATAGCACATTATAATTCGCTGGAAGCTACCATTTATTGGTTAAAGGTATTCATAGGCTGTTCCCCTCTGTTCTCTGACGTATAATATAATACATGTTAATGTCACTGGCATGGACTTGCCCCCCTGCTGTTCCTCTTTCTCATTCATTTCATAGCACTCCAACCAAAAAAATGTATATCTCCCCATTATTTGCTCGTCACTAGGGATCAATGCCATCTATATGTTGATGTTCCCCTTTCCATTTCCATCTTCTCCCTCTTGAGTTCACTGCAAAGTAAGTAGCCTGACCATCTGCTGGTACATTACAGAGAATGTGAGCACACTTCTCTGTCCTACTTCGTGGAGACTTGCGTTTACCTCTGCTAAGGCTTATATTTCCACTTGCCTGCACATGTATTTGTGATTGTGTGACTTTTCAAGGACATTTGATAAACAGTACATTATAGCTTAAGTCACCGGCTGATTTGTACACAGTGAGCTGTTCCATCTTCAAATAGTGCTCTGATAAAGGTACCCTTACATGCTAGAGTTCTTGTTGAGATAAGGATGTGTGGCCTTTCCCAGTTATCAATCAGATTGCAGTCACAAGGCACAGTCGCTAATGACATTATACTACACTCAGTGTGTACAGTCGAAAGTGAAGTTCCCTCAGCTGCTTTTGAAGTTTTTTTAATCACCGTGACACATTTGTCTGTATGGGGGGCTTCATGTTTAGCCACTCTGTCCTTCTAAAGCCTACTTGAATGAAATAAGATGGTGTGATCTTCCATCAGACCAATACAGCACCACACACTCCAAACTTTTATTTCTGATACAAGTTCTTTCTTTTTTGGGATTAGATTTATTTAAATATTGGCACTTGAATGGCAATACCTAGAGCTCCTTGGTCCTTAGGCCCTGTGGTCATTCAGTTGCTCACAGACCCTGTTCCTCCTCTGCAACGCTCCTATCGATGTAGCGACAGCTGTGTACTGCGTGGTGGAATTCAAACAGACAATCAGAACCCTAAATATTGTTAAGCTCAGTAAAACTCGTCCTCTGTGCTCGGCTCGCTGGCCCTTTGTGTCCTGAGCCAACTGGGGTTAATGGGTCTTGGGTGTCATAGATGAGAGAGGGTTAAATGCCAGCCGAACAGTGACAAAAGAGAGTGAGAGGGGCGTCCCATTGTGGTTACATTTGAAAGGATTGGTCACTTTTGTCCTTTTTGAATAGGCAGATCACTA